TCCCTACACGGTGCTCTTCCGATCTCCCCAAAACCCCAAAACCCCTCTTGACTAAATCAGTTAGGAAATAGAATACTTAACACTGGATTGAGAATTAATATTCGTTTGCATTAATAATTTAAATTAGTTATTGACTCAATGAAAGGTAGAAGAAGCTAGTCTATACAGATGTTTGGTATATTTTTTCACATATTTCAATTCTTACAGCTCCAATTAATTTTGGTCGAAAAAGAGTTGGATTATATCAAGATAGACATGTAAGCATCAATGAAATGTAAGATAAGAGAAGCAAAAGCATGAACAGTGAAACAAATGATTACCAGTTTAGATAGAAGAATGATAGGAATGTAGAAACCTACAGTGAAGTGAGTTCAAAACTTTCATATTAGATAATCAGACAATCTTAAAGATTAAGGAACAGGAATATGAATCCTTAAGACTCTGATATTCCTTCTACCGAAGAAAGAAAAACTAAAGGTTGCACCACATCAAGTCATCATCACAAAAAGAAGTAGGGCAATATGTACAAATAGAGAATCGAGAAATTGACCAAGGACAAGACTATTATAAAGAATGGATTTAGAAATGACTTTAACCAAAAATTCAATAAGAAAAGAGGAAGAGATGAGTTTGAAAGTAAGTTTAGAATTCTTACTAAATTTTAAATAGGGTCATATCTGGACAAGATTGAAGATGGGTATTTTGCTGATAATAGTCTCTACCCAAGCAGAGTAACAACTAAGAAGCGCAAAATAAACCCTCAAGCACAGGTAAAATGGCTTAAAAAGCCTACTTATGGGTACAAAAATTAAAAGGGTAGAAATATGAAATAAGCTTTCAAGATGTATAAGGATACAGAAATCTTCAGATTCAGGTCAAAGCAGTAATTTAAGATGCTCGAAGAGAACTTAATTCATCACTCACACGATGACGATCTCGATACTGATGAGGAAATAGTAACAAATCACATTGAAATGTGCCTAGATGAACTAAGGACCAGAATCAATGAATTCCTCTAAGGTGAGCCATTGAAAATGATAAGAAACATAAGAGGTGAGTTTTCTGGAATTGAAAAATTTGATTGCAACTCCAAAGAGGACAGATTATCCTCTCCTGAATCCTCATGGTATGAAATAGTTAGTGATAGCAAATGAAATCACCAGAGGGTTTTTCGCTGAAAAATTCCAGACTATTGTAATATAAATTAAGAATTTTAAGATTTCCAATGCTGATTTTCAATTTCTAAGGTGAAGCTATTTTTGTTAAAAAAATGTTAATTTCTCTCCTCTCATTCATAAATTCTAGATGAAAACTTATCTTGGGGTTTTGGGGTTTTGGGGTTTTGGGG